TTCATTTAATCGGTCCAAAGAGTATTCAAGTGTATTTCTCACACGTTCATTAGAAAACAACTCCATACGCATTTGTTCCATTATCTCTGGATTTGAAAATGCCGGAACAGACATAGTTTTAGACTGTTCAGGGGTTAAACACATCAATGGCAATTCCGCTGCAACTGCATAAAAACTATAAAATTCTGTTCTTCGTACTTCTTCTATTAGTTGCTCGAAGGTTGGTATATTCTCATACTTTAGACTCTTCAGAGTTAACTTTAGATTGTTGTAATAATATCTTAAAAACTTGTATCGGTTGCTTTGTACGATTTGCAATGGAACACTGGTGTGTAAAAAGAAATTTAAATCGATACCAGGACTTCCGTAAAATGATAGTTGATAATCAAGCTGTAAGAAATAATCTTATTTAAGAGATGTATCTTTTAAATAATAAAATATACATACAAATACTGCATCGTCTTCAGAATTAAATAATATATTATTCACCCAAAGATCGGCATGATTTAATACTTTAAATTGACATAGGTCAGTATTTACAGCTGCCTGAATTTTCTTTGAAAAATTGTTGCAATTATCTCGCACCTTTTTTGCCATATCTTCAAAGCCTTCAAGTGAATCTAAATACTTAGTTGCACTCTCTATGTTGCCATAAACAAAATTTACAGAAAAATCCTGAGGGCCATTTTTAAAATGAGAATCCTTGATTAAATCAATAATGCTGGGATTCTAAAAAACTGTGAATTAGAATTCGTAGATATTTTTCTAAACTAAAAAATATTGTACAATAAAATATTAATAATTTTAATTATAAACGTAATTAATATAATAATATATATACAATAATATAATAATTAGAAGTACAAAATTGTAGTTATTGAAATAATTAAATATGGACGAAATATTTAGAATAATAATTATTAATTTTTTATTTGTTTTTGTATTTATAAAATTTTTGTTGACTATAGTCACTGCCATTATTTTAAGTTAAATGTTATTTTAATCATTGTTTTAATAATTTTGTTTAGATATATGTAGTTATACCTTTATACATAACTTATTTTTATTTCATTAATAATATCAATATTAAAATTATTAAACATTATATATTAATTATAAAGTCAACCTAAATTATATTAAATTTTATAAATACTTTGGCTGTTCATAATTATTTTAATCTCTATATATAATAAATATAACTTAAGTACAATAAATACAACTAATATATGAAAACAATAGAGTACGCTTTTAGTTATATGAACTGAGGCAGTGACAGAGACATTTCATTATTAATATCAATGCCATCATCTTCTATAATATCTTTTTCAACTGACTTTGTTATATTCAATAATCGAATCAGTAACTTGTTAACTCTATCTAATATTATGTATCACATTTTTTGCAAATTTTTTTTTGAACGTTATTCATAATGTTAATAATTAAATCTAACTTTTGCAGTTTTAAAATATAAAATCAAATTTAATAATTGCTATAATTATAACAATATATAATTATTACCGAAACTTCTAAATATTAAATTATAAAAACTCTATAAAAATTATTATAACAAAAGTAATAATATTTAATACTAATTTAATAAAATAGTCATTTAAAATAATTAATATTTTAATGCATATAAAAAATCTAGATACAATTGAAACATATTAAATTATTAAAAACTCAGTATTTAAAGACATCTGGAATCTTATGTTATGCGATACAATATGCCCAGATTGCTTAGATGTTCCAAATGAGGTACTGAAGCACTCCTTCTGGCTAGTTCGTCTGCTTAACAAGTGCCGAAAATTTCTGGGGTATGCCCAGAAACCCCGATTAGAGAGATCTTGAGTTGCGTTGATATCTCGTTTAGAGATATGTAGCAATCAAAAACCGTCCTAAATAAAAATTGGACTAGATTCAAGGATTATAAAGCGGCTTAACTGACTGATCGTTGGTTTATATTCTTGTTAAATACATCATCCACTTTCATACAAGTTAAAGTTTCCCTAATGGTGATCACTTTCAAAACACTTACAGTTGTCAGAAGTCTTGGGTACATTAATAGCTTTTCTAACTCATTAAGAGATTATTGCTTGCAAAAGTTGATATTATGAGCTACTAAGTACAGCTCCACAAATTCTCTGGAACACTTTTCGCAAAAATATTTGCAGTTTATTTTTATGTCATACTTTGGGTTCCTATTTTTGATTGCACGGTTGCTGTAAACTACGGTTAGTGCATGGTAAAGGAATATATATATAGTTTTCTGTTTTATCTAGGCGAGAATTGTTTTTGTAATAATTTAAAATAATATAATAATTTTAACAGCTGTTATAATAGTAAAAAACAAACCAATAATGCTATTATTTCGGTTTGTAAGAAATATAATACCAAAATATATTATTATATGATAATAATACTATAACAATAATAATAATAATAATATCAACAGTATTATTGTATAAGATTAATAGAAGTGAAATACTTATAATAAATGTAGTTATAATTATTATTACTACTATTTATATTATTATATTATTATTATTATTATATTATATTATTCAAAAAATTTAAATACAAATACTTAACGCATGATCGTAATAAAAATGCATTTTAATGAACAATTATTATAAGTATTTTAATTAAACAAGTTTTTTAGACAATATAAACTGTAATAATAATATAATAATCTCATAATTAAAAATATAACATTAATTACAATTTTTAAATACAACATTTTAAAACAATTCAAAAATGCATATGCAAACCTTTTTTAGAAACAAATTTTAATTTTTAGAAAAACATATATTTGTATACACATATGTCAAAAAATTGTGGTTGATCAAAATTGATCAAAAAATAAAATAAACAAATACATAATATATAAAAAAATATACTAAAAAATATATTAAAAAATAATGTCAATGAATAATGAAAAAAAAATATATATATAATAAAATTATTGTATTATAAATGAAATAAAAATTTGATATCAAATTATTAAATCAATTCTAAAATATAAAGCAAACCTTACCTTCTCTACAAGTACCATCGAGGTAGCATGGAACTGTGCTAATTTTTTGATTGTAGAATAGCTTTGTTTCTCACTTACGC